CTTAACCTGCAAACATCACTGTTTCTTCAGCTACAGGATGGTGTAGAGAATGTGTCCTCTACCTCCCAGGAATGTTGTGGGAAATTCACGAGATAGAAAAGTACCAGCATTCAGGAAGGGTGAGTCCCCATGGTTCCGTGAGGCCAGAGATCCTGCCCTTCTGTGGGACGTTATGTTACAACCACCCTATGACAATGCACGAATAGATGGTCACTGAATTACAGAAGAGTACAAGGACTTATATTTACCAGTTCATCCAATATCGATTATTATAGTAATCCACAGTGTAAATTGAAAAGTAATTACATGGAAATCACTTCTTCCTTCCTTCCCATCTAAGGTCTCAGACGTGCTTTCCCGGATGGGATCTCATTAACCTCTACATTGATCTGTGAGGTGTTAACCAAAACTGGCCAGCACATTTAGAAATGACTTACCTAAAGCCTTATAATGGGCCTCCCTGCCCGTGTTCTATCACATTGTTTTTCTGCAAAGCCTCATCTTGCAGGGTTACATTATACATATTTTTCTTTTTCTTTTTGTTTTACCAAAAAAGAAAAATATATGCCTTTTTACTGTTAAGAAACATTTTCTTAAATAACATTTCATTAACATTTCTTAACATTTCATTCCTTACTGAAATGGCTTTTTTCTTACTGATCCATTAAAACCATGTTGGCTATGTTCAACGTAACTAGAGATATCTTTGGTGTTTTCTTCCCTTAGCTTCATATCTTGTGGAATATCTTGTACAAAAAAGTAGATTTACAGAAAAACATACATATAAATCACTTATTAATCCCTAAATGTAGTAAAATAACATAGCAAAAACTTTATGAAATCCATTTCATGCACAAACTGGACAAATCTGTTATATATAATCTCTATTTGCATCTGCAGTGTTTTATAAATTCGTGCTTTGACGTTAAAAAGCAGGTTTAGAAAAAGGCCCTTTTGTAATATTGATGACTCTGAATTATCTCACTATCATTGCTTCTCAAATTCCCTTGAATTTATACTCATCATTGCCATATCACCATTCTTACAAAAGCGGTTTTTTTTAAAATCATACTGAGATTGTATTTATAACTTCAAAAAGCGGTTATTTTAAGGAAAAAGTTGCAGCGTGATTATAAGTACCATTCAGAATTTCATGTTATCAAGAGTTGAGCAGAGTACTAATTTTCCCTTTATAAACACATGTCTAAAACAAGAGCTTCATGCACATCCACATAGAAATTCAAACTGCCTAAGGTGCTGTTATTGACAGAAGGCATCACACACATTGCCAAGCAGCATGGTTCCCATGAGAAACTGAAAACATATTTCTCAAATCTAGAATGTGTCTTCCCATCTTCCAGATGTAACCATTCAGAGTTTTTCCTGGAGAGATTCCAGCTTGTTTCTTTTTGGTGCCTTCCTTAAGAAATTTTGCAGCTATTTCTGGTGCAGTTTTTGGGTGGGTTCTGGGGTGGGCAGACGATCTCCACTTTGCAGAGGCTGCTCCTATTGTGAGTGGAGCTCGCCGTGAGGGAGTAGGAGAGGCCTTGCATCATCCTGGCATTCAGGCCCTTGGCCATGGAGAAGGACTTGAGGTGGCTTCTTAAGGCAATGGGGAGCGGGAGCTTGTCCACCAGGTGTACAGGTGTGTAGGACACAATGGCGCGGCAGCAGAGGTCTTGCAAGCTCAGTACCTTGCTCGGCCTCCCGAGCCAATTCATCCTGTGCCGCAGCAGCACGATCCTGGCCAGCTCCGTGAAAGACTCTATGATGTTGAAATTGCACAGGGGGCTGACCTCAAAGAAGGTCACGCCCAGGCGCTCGGCGTAGGCCTGGGCCTGCTCCCTGGGCACCTGCCTCTTGAATGCCAGATGTAGGCGATTCCCCACCAGGATTTTAGGGACACCAGGGGCATGCTCATCAATCTTCTTAATCCATCGATCCATACCCTCGAAGGACCAGCGGTTTGCAATGTCGTACACCAGGATCACTCCTTGGGCACCACGAGAATACGAGCGGAATATGGTACAAAATCTTCCCTGCCCCGATGTATCCCACAGCTTCAGCTTCACCCGCTGGCCGTCCAGCAGGATGGTGGTCGTCTTGTAGTCAATCCCCCCTAGGTAGCTGTATGGGGACTCGGCTGCACCGTCCTGCAGGCTCTCCAGGATCTCGCCCTTGCCCACGTCGCTGTCACCCACCAGCAGGAACTTGAGCAGGAAGTCATAGGCTTGGTCGGGGCTGCTTGGGGTATTCATCGTGCTGGCCCCGGGCCGCTCCTGAGCCAGGCCCACGGGGTTGCGTGCAGAGGTGGTGCTGGGCCTATTTTTCTTGAGAAATTAACATAGAACATAAAAAAATGGGATGGGGAAGTCTATGAAATGAAGTGAAATGAGGTGATGGCTTTCATGATTTTCTTTTACAAACTCTAGGAAACTGGTTCAGTGATTGTTTTACTTTTTCTTACCCAGCACAGAGTACATTTCCCTTAACATTTCCATGTGATCGTTATCATGGAACCATGCTTTTTGGATTATGTCAAAGGAATTTCCTTTAAAGGAAAGACCAGTATGGAACAGTAAGGGGACTAAGATTGGTTGAGTACCGTATGTACCCTACACTGTGTATGACACTTAAAATATTTTGTTCTTTTGCTTTTCAGAACAATTAACTTTGGTAGCTATGATTGTTTCCATTTTACCAATGAGAAAAGGCAAACTCAGGAGTGTTAAGTGATTTTTAAAAATCTTGCTGTTAGTATAGAGATCACAGAAATCACAGTCCTGAGCCGGCGCTCTCCTCATATAATGCAGCACACATCCTTTTTACTCTGCGGCCATGCAGGGTTTAGGAATAAGCGTAACTGTCTGTGCATGTGATCCTTGACAAGCCACACATGTTTGGGTGGGCACTGATACTTTTCTTGCTGCAGGTGGACATTTCCCATAAATATAAGAGCTGAGATCTCAGAAGAGACTAGGACATGGATTTTCCTAGAGTATCTTATAAATAATATTCACCCCACAAAGAGATGTTGAAATAACACATGCATTGATCAGTGAAGGGTTTTGGGTTTAACACATGCACAGTTCCTATAGCAAAACTGACAAAATATGTATATTGTTCACAGATGAAGAAACGCAAATGGCCAATAATCACAAGAAAATACATTGTAGCTCACTAACACGTTAAGGAATGCGAATGAAACCATCTAAATATCCTCTTATCACCTATCATCTGACAAAATTTAAATGTAGAAAACACTGAATAAGAATTTTTTTTAATTTGCAAAGGAAAAAGGTGAAAACTGGCTCTGTGCATGTGTGTATGTATGAGGGTAGGAGGAGGGACCAAATACATCAAGGAAACGGAAACACACTTACCATTATAAATACATTTAAATATTTTAACTACAACAGGTATAACGATGGTTAAAGAAATGAGAATGTTCAGACACATGTAAGGGAGTTTAAATTATTGAAATCAAGCCCCAAGGGATAGATGTTTATGCATATAACGGAGGGAAAAATGTTCACCCGTACAAAATAGCCAGTTAAGAGGTTATTTGAAATAGCATTGCTGAGATCTTTTTAAAAAGGAAAAAATGAGAAACATTCCAAATACTCATCAATACAGAACAAACGTGAATAAAGAGTAAGAAAAACATTTCTAATTCTCCGTGAGCTTCAGGGCAAATGGAGAAAAAAAAACACCTTTAGATTAATTCCAGAGTTAGCTGCCGATAAGGAGGTAACAAAGTTGTCTCCCTGATTTACACAAACTCCTCTTAAGACAGCACCCTGATTGGAATAATGATCATAATCATTGGTACCTTGAATATCACTAGGATAAAGGAGATGAAACATAGAGTGCATTTGCTTAAAGTAGTTCAGTGCAGGTTACTTTTCTTCTCTCCAGCTCACCTGTCCCAAGGCCAACACCTAAGCTTCTGCCTGAGCCCACTCACTGCTTAAGGGATCAGCCAACTCATGCAGCCCTACACCCAGTCTCTTGCCATAAAGTGCAGGATTTCACCTCCTTTGTCTTCCTCATCACCCAGGGGGGTTGTGGAGTAAGGACCGGTGGGGCCACAATAACAGGAGAATGGAATCTGACCATTTCTCAAGCCATGGAAGCCCAGCTTCTAAAAAGGGGTAACTCGGGGTCCTATACGGAGGGTGAGGGATGAAACCTCATTCCAATCCTGCCACTTACCTGGAGAGGTGACTTAGGCTCTGAAAGCCTGAGCTTGATTATCTGTGAAATAGAACGGACTGTATCATCCTTACAGCGCTGTCCCAAGGAGCAAATGAGAAAACCTGTTGAGAGTATATGGCATGAAGTGGGATTTCAATGGCCCTTTAAATGCTGAGACACAGAAGTGGG